AATTAAGAAACATCTAGTGTATGTATATACAGTTAATGTAAGGCGCGGTTTCCTTTTCTCTCTTTCTACCCAGACCACTTCAGCTTAATGAAGTGGTCTGGGTGCCAGGTCCAGCTAGGTTTAACCCTTTCTGCTGTAAACATAGCAGTTTCAGAGAAACTGCTATGTTTACATTTGGGTTAATCCAGCCTCTAATGGCTGTCTCATTGACAGCCGCTAGAGGCGCCTGCGTGCTTCTCATTGTTTTTTTCCCAGTGAGAAGACGCCAGCATCCATAGGAAAGCATTGTGAATGCTTTCCTATGAGATTGGCTGAATGCTCTTGCCGCGCATGCGCATTCAGCCGAGGAGGAGGAGAGTTCCCTGCCCGGGGCTGGAGAAAGAGGTAAGTTTAACCCCTTCCACCCCCTAGAGCCCAGCAGGTGGGGGACCCTGAGGGTGGGGGCACCCTCAGGGCACTATAGTACCAGGAAAACGAGTATGTTAAAATGATAAAAAAATTAATCCATGTTCGCCCTTCGAGGGCACGCCGCGTCCTGAGCTCCGCAGGGCGGGTCAAGGCTTATAAAGCCTTGACCCGCCCTGCAATTAGGCTTAGAACACTCTGATTGGTGGGTTTAAGCCAATCAGAGTGCTCTGAGTCATTTTACATAGCGTGGGAAAATTCAAAAGAACTTTCCCATGCTGTGTAAAATGACACAGAGCACTCTGATTGGGTGGCTTTCAAGTTTTTTTTGGGTGGGGGGGGTGACTAGGGGCTTGGGACCCCTAGTCACCTTGATTGGGGGGGGTGTTTCATTTAGGGCCCCCACCCACCGCTCAGGGGGGGGAGGACAGTAGGTCCCCCCCCCTTATTGTTTTATTAGGGCCCCCACCCACCGCTCAGGGGTGGGAGGACAGTAGGTCCCCCCCCTTATTGTTTTATTAGGGCCCCCACCCACCGCTCAGGGGTGGGGGCCGGGGGGGGAGGACAGTAGGTCCCCCCCCCTTATTGTTTTATTAGGGCCCCCACCCACCCACCGCGCAGGGGTGGGGGCCAGGGGGGGGGCCAGTAGGTTCCCCCCCATCTTTATTTAGGGCCCCCACGGGCATGGGGGGGGGGTTTATTAGTTTTTTTATTTTTTATTTTTTACAGTGAGCAGCTATAAGCTGCTCACTGCTTACTACACATGCCCCTACTCGCGGTATAGCGAGTAAGGGCATTTAATTTACTAATACTAAGTAATCTTTACTTAGTATTAGTAAAGTTGGCTGAAAGACCAATTTAGGTCTTTCAGCCTTTTAGTAGATAACTCCCTGATACCGTGGGAATTAGGGAGTTATCTACTAAGCGGCTGCAAGATGCAGCCACAGCAATGAATAGGATCGAAGTTTCATTCATTAGAATGAAACTCCGATCTGAATAAAGTGCCGAATTGCGTTCTAAAAGAAACGAACATACCGTTCTCATTCAGTTAGAACGCAATTCGGCAGTTTAGTGTAAAATGACAGGAAGCATCGCGGGAACACAGAGGGAAGGTAAGGATCATGGGAAAATTGCTCTGACCAGCGGAAATGAAGCACACGTTGCTCCTCCGCTGGTCAGAGCTGGTCAAGCGGAGGAATCCTCCATAAGGCAAAGAGTCCCTACTTTGTCTTATGATTTTAAAGAAAACTAAAGAAGATAGGAAGAAAAGAATAACAGATCCCGAGAGAGGGGGAGAAGAGGAAGAGATTGAGGAAAGGTAAGTTCGGCATGACAGTGCCGCTTTAAAGCAGCATTGTCATAGTTTGGAGACTTTGTCAAACTTGCCAAGTTCCCCGATGGTGTCATAGCCAGTCATAGTCACTAGGGTTGGTGTCACCCGGCGAGGTAACTCATGGTGTCACCCCAACCACCACCATGTCCCTTAGTGTTCCTTTCCCCTCCCCCTCCCGTCCCTTAGTATTTCTCTTTCCCTGCCTTACCTGTGTTAGTGCCCCCCATTCCCATTAATGTTCCTCACCCCCCTCTTAGTGTTCCTCTCCCTTCTCTTTTAGTGGTCCCCCCACATGTGTTCCTTTTCCCTTCCCTCTCCTGTACCTTAGTGCCCCCCCTTAATGTTCCTCTCTCTCCCTAGTGTCTCTCCCTGTCCCATAGTGTTCTTTCTCCCCTCCTAGTGTTTTTCTCCCCCCCCTCTATCCCGCAGGTGTTCTTTCTCTCCCCTCCTCTATCACGCCAGTATTCTTTCTCTCCCTCCCTTGTTCCATGGTGTTCTTTCTCCCCTCTATCCCATAGTGTTCTTTCTCTCCCCCTCCCTGTCCCAGTGTTCTTTCTCCCCCCTCTATCTCATGTTGTTCTTTCTCTCCCCCTCCTCTATCCCATAGTATTCTTTCTCTCCCCTCCCTTGTTCCATAGTGTTCTTTCTCCCCCCTCCCCTGTTCCATAGTGTTCTTTCTCCCCAACTTCCCCTGTCCCATAGTATTCCTTTCTCCCCTCTCCTGTCCCATAGTATTCTTTTCTCCCCTCCCCTGTCCCATAGTGTTCTTTCCTCCCAAACTTCCCTGTTCCATAGTATTCTTTTTCTCCCCCAAACCCTGTCCCTTGGTGTTCTTCCCCCTCCTGCGGGTGTCACTCCCCCCTCCCCGCCCCTTCCCGTGATGCACCCTTGTGCGGTCTGCACCCCTCTTTTGTTTCGCCACTGGTCATAGCTGCTGGTGGCAGCTGAACCTGTCCCTCACGGGTGCTGCCATCTTGCTCCGGCGGGGTCCTCTTCGATGCAGACATCATGGATGTACTCTCGCGCATTGAGGTCTATGGGGGATCCTCCATAGACACAGCCAATCCCTGCAGCCGTCACTGATGACGACTGCACGGAATAACACTTAGACTCCATCTTGTTTCAAAGAAAGTCTGGCGGAGGAGAAATGCAGAGACAGTGAAGTCCCTACTTTATCTCAGTATATCTCTTGACTGGGTTGGTATTTTAGTGAAATTCCAACACAGTCAAAATGAGTATTCCGGAGAGGGTGGGGTGACAATGTCCCCTTCAATTTGAAATGTACTTAATTCCTGAAATTCTCACGTTAATGAATAACTCTGTAAAATTGCTGATTTGGAAAAATTCTGTAATTCAACTCCAATCATCACACCTTAGCTATTTTAGCATAGAGCTCACCGTTGGGGTTTCATGTCACTATAATTCACAGTTTAGTGAATAATCCCCTCAGTGAATAAACCCTAGTGACTAAGGCTGAGCAGGGGTCGGATACTTTAATTCAATCTGATCTATAAGGACACGAGCTTCCACCTGTACAGAAGGGACTGGGATACAAAGTATCTCACTCTAGCCCCGCCCATTCCCCGCCCCTGTCCTTGTCCCAGAGACTCTGTCCCTTTAACAGCTGCTCCTCCTCCTGAACTTTGACTGAGAGACACCCACAGGAAGAGACAGGCAGGCAGAGAGAGAGAGAGAGACCCATCTAGGAGGATACAAAGAGACACCCACAGGAAAAGGCAGACGGGGGATAAAAAGAGAGAGTAAGAAACAGTAAAACATACATTTCCTCAGACAGTGAGACACCCACAGGTAAAGACAGACAGCTGATTGAGAGACACACAGAAAGAGACAGGTCATAAATCAGGGAATAGAGATAGAGAGCACCGAGAACAGAGAGAATCCAACAGAAAAAGACTTGATTCAGAATAGATCAATGTTATAAATAATTATAATATGCTCAGTAATGTGAAGACATAGAGATAAATTGCACAGAAAGTGATAAAAACTACAGAGACATTGTCAGAGCTTGAAAAGAATTCTGCAGGTAATGTGTGGCACCTCCCCTCCCCCACCCTGTGTCTGGAGTGAGTGGCATCACCCTCTCTCTCTTCCCCCCACCCTGTGTCTGGAGTGAGTGGCATCACCCTCTCTCTCTCTCCCCCTCCCCCTGTGTCTTAAATGAGTGGCATCACTCTCTCTCTCTCTCTCTCTCTCCACCCTGTGTCTTAAGTGAGTGGCATCAACCCCCCCCCACACACACACACAGTGCAGCTTGTAGTAGAAAAGGCATCACACCTCCCCATCCCCACCCCATGCCACACACACACACACACACACATGTCTGTAGTGAGTGGCATCACCCCACCTCCCACCCAAACTAGTGTCTGTGAAGTGAGGGTATCACCACACAGTGTTCCCTTAGTGAGTAACACCCCCCAACCCAGTAAAGTGTCTTGTAGTGAATGCATCACTCACCACACAGTGTCTTAGTGAGTGCACACCCTCCCCAACCCAGCAAGTTCTGCAGCGAGTGGCATCACAACCTCAACCCAGTGTTCAGTGAGTGGCACTCACCACCCACACAGTGCCTTAGTGAGTGGGTACCACCCCCCCAACCTCAGAAAATTGTAGTGAGTGGCATCACAACCCCCCAACCCAGTGTCTGTAGTGAGTGGCATCACCACCCCCCAACCCAGTGTCTGTAGTGAGTGGCATCACACCTTGTCTGGAGTGAGTGGCATCACCACCACCAACCCACTGTCTGCAGTGAGTGGCATCACAGTGTCTGTAGTGCGTGGCATCATACAGTGTCTGGAGTGAGTGGCATCACCACCACCAACCCACGGTCTGCAGTGAGTGGCATCACAGTGTCTGTAGTGCGTGGCATCATACAGTGTCTGGAGTGAGTGGCATCACCCCCACCTCTCAACCCAGTGCCTGGAGTAGTGATGGCACCTCCACTCCCTTCCAAACCTGTATCAATAGCACGCATCTCAGACTCTGCGTGCCCCGGCACCTCATGTTGGAAAACTACCACAGCTATGGTTATCATGTTTCATTCAAAAATCTCGACATTGCAAGCCAGTTTGAGCAGTGTCCCCATCAACCCACTGTTCCTATAACATATTGTAATTGTCTCATTTATTGTTTGTTTGTTTTTCCTCCTTCTATAAAATTGTAAAGCGCTGCAAAATAGGTTGGCGCTAAATAAATGATGATAAATATAATAATTCATTCAGGGAGTTGTAGGCCACAACTGGTCTGTAGTGTGACATCTCTTCCTCTGCAGTGTCTATGGTGTGTGACCTCTATCCTGCACAGTGCTGTAAATCGCATGTGACTTCTCCCCTACTCGATGCTGTCTTTGGTGTGTGACATTGGTGTGTGTGACTTCTCCCCAGCACAGTGTCTGTGGTGTGTGACATTTCATTCCTACTCTCCAGTGTCATTGATGTGTGTACCCTCCCCTCAACAGTGACTGTAAAGTGTAGAACCCCTTCCCCATCAACCATAACATTTTCATTCTGCATTTATTGTATTCGGAAATCCAGAGAATGAAACCTCCGCATACATGATGAACTGCTTATAGACCGAACGTTTAGTAAACATACATTCATCTAGATAACAGCAAAGCGCTTATAATAATAATTTTGAAACAAACAAAAAAAATCAACTTTGACCCAAATTACCTGCAGCGTCCTCCAAAATTGTTTAATATGACAGATCCCAAACAATTTTGAAAAACAAAGGGAAAAAAAACAAAAATCAAACTCTAATCCGCTTCCCCACCTCCCCCCCCTGTAGATTGATGTTAAAATACAGGCACATGTTACCATAAAATAGACTATAACCGCAGTATTATGGTGGTGAGACTGCTCAGTGCATAGAGCTGTAGTTGCAATATC